GCAGGCTCCAACCTCGAATGTGTGGCAACGCATGACGCACTTGCGACTAGATGTCCTGCTCCTTTGCCAGGATATAGCTGGGGTGCGCTCGATTTGCTATGCTGTGGCAGCCTTCAGCTCGTGGCAACTGGGCCGGCCTGGATGGGTCTGGCTATTTGCGTTGGCTGGGTGCATCGTGTATTTCGAGGATGACTGGAAAGCACGTGGCACTGCCAATGTGTGCTTCTCAATACTGTCAATGCTTTTGCGTCTGTGCAAAAGGGTATGCTTCAAGACGCCTTTGCTCAAGGACCCTACATTTGTCTTGTTGAGTTGATGAAAGATATGCAGAGGTGCGCATTAGGCCTCTGACCATTTGTGCTAATTCTGCGCTCTGCAGGATGATATTTCTTCAGTCCTCTGCATTCTTCTGGCAGGGCTGAGTTCATGGCAATTGGGACGACCTGGTTGGTTCTGGCTGAGCTGTCTTAGAGGCTGCTTCTTCTGCTTGAAGGATGACTGGAAAACAAGTGGCGCAGGGAAACTTTTCGGCAGCTTCCGGAAGCTTCTGAAGGCGCCTGTCCGAAGTGTCAGCATAATATTTGTCGGTAGCTTTGCGAACAGACACTATCTTGGTGCTTGCAGACTGGATGGACACATTGCAGCGGAACCAGGCCGTTCGGCATGAGATTCAGGCAAAGCTTCTCGCCCCGGTTTGCAGGAGAAATCGCACGCGTGAGTCCACGGGTAGATCTGAATCTGGGATGCCTTTGAACTGTGTCGGCTGGCCACCGGATTCCCAAAGGGCAACAGTACTGCACATAAGATGCCCATGGCCGTGCTGTGATTAACAAAGGCAAGAGCCCAAGAAATGCCACTAATTGTTCAGCTGCCTGCCAAGCTTCACGTCAAAACAGACCACTCTAGCTATCACCCACCCGGACGAAGAAATTAGATAAGGCTTCAAGCATAGCTTTTTTTTCACTTGCGGCAACCGCCCTCGAAGAATCCTACCATCTGCTTGAGGTCTGCCGCTTCTGACCATGTCTTCGAGGCAGGGGGCAAGAACAGCTTTTCGCGGTGCTGTTGGCTCCTGACGCATACTGCCGTAAGCCATCATCCATTCAGCCTAGACACACCAACGGTCTCATCGTGGTCTCTATGTTGCGTAGTTGCTCGAAACCTCAGGTTCCTGGTCCTGGCTGGTAGTGGATATCTAAACACAATGGGCTTCTTGGAACATGCTTTGCCAAGGGTCAGAGCATGTCGGCACGAACGCATACTGGGAGGCATTCCATGGAACATCGATGGAAATCGCAAGGCGGATCCAAGAGGAGGCAGAGTGACAGGCTATCCTAGCAGTTCTCGTTGTTGCATTTTGCCAGGGCTTCAAGCCATCAGTTGGTGGATGCCTTGGACCCGGAATCTATGTGGCCGACTGCAAAAAGGCGCAAAACGCTGCCCAAGCCTGAGGGCTGAAGCACCTAAGACCTTCGGCCTTCCAGTGCACTGTCATTTTATACAAGTATCATAAATCACAACAATTAGTAAATCATTAAACAAATAGCCAAGTATAACCAATTGCATCATTAATCGAAAATGAAGAGAACATGTGTCATGTATGTATAGATCTGTCGCAAAGCAGTCAAGAAAGTCTTGCTGCCCTGAATGCGATGCCGTTGCATCCACCAGCGACTCTTTGAGTCGCAAAGCATATCGAAGATGCCGGCCAAAAGCTTCAGTTTTGCGGCCTGTTGGCCCGTTGGTCAAGATGCGGACCGCTAGAAAATCGTACAGCTGAAGGTTTCAATCCCCACTTGTCACCATGAGTGATTATACCTTTACAGCCTGCTCTGTTCGCCCAACCCATTTCCGGATGCTGGTCTTTGGGTCAGCCCGCTGATCGAACGAATCGCAGTGTTGGGTGAGCTGTGCAACTTTGGAATGGTGGTTGGTCATAGAGTCAGAGAGCTGGCATTCGGGGCGGTTATCATGCCACTCCCACATGGCATCCGCTGCCGCCTTACTGCATGGACTGATCGTACTTTTTTTGCGGGGCCATATTGACATCTTCTGCTTGATCGACTGTGTCGGCATGCCCGGCGCCTTTGCGTTTGCAAGATTTCTAGTTTTGCCACATCTATTCACTGCCAGGCGCAGCGGTTTGCACATGATCGGCATGGTTCCGATCCAGCATTAGTCAGGCTTGGATCAGCTCGAGTGTTGAACCTGGGCAGAAGGGAAGGCCGATGCAGAGACTTGACAGGGTCCGCGTAACAGCCAAGAGCATGAAGACGGTCCCGAGAAACGACTCCGATTGGCAGGCAGCCAGCCTGCTTCGGTCCTGTTTTCAATTAGCCGTCGACGCATGTTCCTTCAGCCAAACGCTTGTTACTTGCAGGAAGAAGGCTATGATTGCTGCTATGCCGAGCGCGTGGACCTTACATAGTACTTTGCTGTGACAAGCTGTGAGTCTGCAGAGAAGATGCTATAACATTGTTGTCCACAGCTTTGCTGCTGTTGGCCGTGCATTGTCCTGCAAGTTCAAGGCACCTCAGCGTCCAAGAATCCGGAATGGTGTATAAAGAGCCGCAATCAGGTCAAAGTGCTCGAGGCTTGGGCCTTCTGCAAAGATCATTAGCCTCACGGCCTCACGTCCCCCGTTATGCAGGTCCCTGCTTGCGAGAGCACAAACATCGTCTCAAAATGAGCAGGTCAAAAGCCTTGAAGGTTGCCAGCGACCAAGCCACTGAGGAAGAATGACGATGAGTTCCGAAGAACAGCCTAGCCTGTAGCTCTCTTGCACGGCAGGCCAGTGCTCTGGCAACAGGTGCCCAGGGTCACCAGACAACAACGTGTTTCCCCGGTTTCTGAGACTTTCCATGCGTTTGCCCACGGTTTTCCCTCCACATGTGGCAAACAAGGTATAGTGCAAAAGACACAAAGAAAGCCTGGTTTTCTTGGTGCGCCTTTCCGTCGTCCCTCTCACCCCATACTAAACTAGGATGTGCTGAAGAAGAAGAAGCCAGAGCCAAGCACACCGCATATCTTGCCTGGTACTACAGCGCAGACTGCGGGAGGGAGTGTTGTAGAGACCGGGGCAGAGAGGAGGGTGCGCGGGACCCGTTTAGCCTTTAGCAGCCTTGCCGAGACCAACAAAACACGTCGGCCTACTTAGGGTGAACATTCCAGGTGTTTCAGCGATGTCAACGGTTGCACTCACGTCGTCGAAAAATGTGCAGGGCTGAGACTTCGATCACAAACTTTATCCGACAATGCACATCGCTTCATCCGAGCAGTCGCATCATCAGATTCATGGATGCTGGTTGCAGCTCCTCCGATAGATTTGCAGCAGTTTGGCAGTGCAGTTCAAAATTGCTTCTCTGGCCTGTGATACTGCACGGGCCGAGGGTGAACAAAGACCTCGATGCCTGTCTCCCACTGCTCCGAGACTCCGAGGGGATCGGGCACCCTCACATGCCCGCCCCACCAACAACCGACCTGTTCTGGAACGATTGCAGAGAAAGCGATGGAGAGAGGAAGATCGCCAAGCCTATGGTGGCCGACTTCCCTTTGTCTTCGCAAGCCAGTCATTATTTGATAAGAACGCACGGAGAACGGGTCCCTGAACAAATTCAAAAAGCCGCGAGACATTGATCTTATAAGATGGAAACCTATGAGATGCAGAGAGGGTTGCACAGAAAGGAGTGAGTACCCGCTCTGAGCTATTCGAAAAGAAAGGGAGGGAGGAAAGGTTCGAAAAAGGACGTATGGTGGGGAAGGAAGCAAAAGAGCAAGAGCTAGGCGAGAGAGAGTCAATCCAAATATGCCTTTGCCTTGGTCGCCGGTGACCGGTGCACAGGACTTACGTGCGAGATTGCTACCGCTCGGCAAACGCATTGAACATGCTTTTGCCTGACTGTGTTCTGAGACCTCCCATCGCAGTACATGGCTGATGGGAGCTGGCTTTCAGTTTCTCGAGTCGCCCCGGGCCCATGCCCACAGAAAGAGAGATGGAAGGAACGAATACAGAGACAGGGAGAAAGAGGTAGCTCATTTTGCGCCAGTGGGCATTTGATCTTGGCCGTTGCAAGTAACTGTCTCCCTCGTGTAACCAGCTTCAGTTGGCATGACATGCAGCTTTGCGCATTCGAACCTCAGCGGGTCATCGGAATGAATGACATGAGCAGTAAATCGTCACTCGCAGATGTCTTGGACCCTCGCAGTGTTGCCTGGAGTTTCCTACTATCCTGCGAAATTAGAGCATCTCAGATGCCCATTTATTCCCGCTGGGATTCCATCAGGACTCTTGCTGCAAGATGGAATTCTGACCGCGGGACAGCGCATGGCTGAAAAAGCAGAGACCGGATCTTGCCTGCAGCCGCACAACGCATGCCCGCAGCTCAAGTCCGACAGCTTAGCTACCATCCAGACGTTGGCTGACACAAGTCCCTGGCATTCATGTCTCGGCTTCAGCCGGGTTTCCGTCTCGACTCGTCTCCACAGGCTTCTGCGCGAGATCAGCAGTACTGAAAAGCCTTGTACATGATTCACTGCAGACAGCCACCGGATTCAAGTTATGGCTGCGTCTGGTGTGGGTTAAAATCGGGATTTGCAGAGGTATGATCCCAGACACAGGTCCTTCTGCAACACTCTTCCTTTGTGGGTTCGTGTTGTGCAGTTCTGATCTGATCTCCAGTTTCTGTTGGAGCGAACCGGAATGCAAGATGCAAGATCAGGAATGTCTCGAGATGGGAGCGCTGCATTGTTGATTTGCGCAGTCTTGTGTGAGCCCTGCTGCACGAACTGGACAGGGTCTTGTGCTGAGAGATCGATGCAGAGGCCTGATGCACCAATGGTATCAACCATTCATACTGTCGTGCCCATGGGCCTGTGGTCTCGGTTGAATGCGTGCACAGCATACGATGGGTGCGTCTAAGCCTCACCTTTCCTGCAGGGCCATGTCGAAAGACGAGAGGTCGACTCCCGTGCCTTTCAGACCTGATGCTGCCGTTCCCGAAATGTGCAACAGGCTCCTTGGACTACTGCGCTTGTGGGTAGCACTCCTGCGAAATCTTGCGCATTTTCCAGTGCTGAGCCACAGCAGGTGAGTCGTTACTCAATGTACTCCTTGTCACGGATAGGCTAGGCCACAATATCAGGTCGTTGTTTAGTTGCAAGGTCTACTGCTGGCAGTTGAGGCTCCTTGCTTTCTACTATCCTGGTCGGCCAGCTCCTTGCAGCGCGGATCTGAATAATTATGAAATCGGCTGGAAATCTAATTCCTCTTGCACGGTTGTTCGATGCATTTCGGGCTATTGAACATGCTGCCAAATTCCGCCCATTGAACTTGATGTTATCAAGGCTGTAGCCTGGAATGTAGTTGTTTGCAGTTACAGGCAAAGCCCCGAACTTGGCGGCGTCGTTTCAATATGAGGCCCAGTGAAGGGAATCGAAGCATAGGCCGTGTAGACTCCTGACGAGGTGACGAGCTTTGCAAGGCGCAATTTCTTGGCAATTTCTTCGATGCCCGGGTCACTCTTGACATCAGCCGCATAATGATACAGATTTTGTCGTTTTTCAAACGATTAGAACGATGAATTACACCTGCACGCCAAGGAGAGAGGCCGCAATAGATACATGTTTGAGAACGTCGAAGCCGCATACCAAGCTCAGAAGTTTTGGCCGTTTGTCAAGGACCCATGATGCTATTGTTTGTTGTTGCATCATCTGAAGATCACGGATCAAGCGCTCTAATCATGTCTGTCGGCCGTGCATGAGATTGACAAACAGGCATTGGTTTGAGTATTCAATGCAAGCACTGTCCTGCGCAGGAGTTTCAAAGTATTTCTGGAGAAGAGGCATTCAGGCTGAGTCGGCAGCTGCAGTGGGATGGACCATCGGCAACTTCATGCTGAGTTTCTTTCTCCAATCAGTCAGCAGTTGCAAGGGTCTGCATCTGCTTGCAAGGAAAGGCTCTGGCAAGAGAGGCTGACAGGCTGAGTGCAATGAGAGCAACCCTTGCACTGAAATTCTCTCCTGGCTCCTTCCTTGCCCGGAAGCTGATAGACACGAGGAGTACTTTCCTGCTCCTTACCTGCACAAGAGAGGGCCCAGGCCCATCGGGCCTGCAGTTGCCGCCGTTGCTGCTTTGTTTAGCTTGTTATGTGCCGTTCAAGGTTGGAGCACAACAGCTTCACAGGTCGCGATGGCTTCTGGTCTGACAACAGCGACGGCACTGGAAAGAATTGGCTTGGTGCATTGTTGATGCTTCAGCGCATGGATCTCCTTAAGGGCAAAGAGGAAGATCACTGGGCAGAGTGGTTGTTGAGCAATGTACACCCCGAATCTGGCACTTTGACACCCGACTGGCGGAAGGTAGTCGGGCTGGCGCGGAACGCCCTGTTCGAAAAATTGAGGACCACAAGCAGTCGGCTTGGAAAGCCTAGTCCCGAAGCAGCACGCATCAGCACCTGGTCTCTCAAGTAGCGAGCTTGCGCTTCTGAGCTACGCCACAGTCTTGTCCGCTATGCTTCCCTGCATTTCAGGTAAAGGACCGCAGCGCCAGCTCCCTGCACCGTCCGCACAAGCTTGCAATCGTCAGAAGGACTGAATTCGATCATAGTGCTCGTTGGGGTTGTGGGCGGAAGCATTCACCTCTTGGAGCTCGCTTTAATTGAAGGGCAATGGCGCAGTAAAAGCTGCAAGACACGAGCCGAGCCCTGCGAGAATGTGTTTGAAAGCGAGCCATCCCCTCAAGCAAGCACGAGAAGATGCCTTGTTGTCGCACAGTCCAGTCTCGACAAGGTCAGTAGGAAAGGCTTCCTGTCTGGCCTCGATCTGATCTTGGTTCATGTTGCGGTGGCGTTGCCATTCGTGAATCGCAGTTTGTCAGCTGTGTGGTCAAACACCGTGGGCAGGTCGCCAGCAGTCGGCTTTTGAAGAAGAAATCTAGTGACCTAGTGTGTGGAGAGCCATGTCCGACAGGCCATTCTCCATTTTGCCAAAGGACTAAGGACGCACTTTCGAAACAGTTCGTGCGATTGACTCGCCTCTTCAACTACTCGTACTCGCGCCGCTTGCAAGTAATCACTTCGTTCTATTTGCAGTTGGACGTTTAACAAGACTGCGGCACGTTTCACTGCAAACAGCCTTGCTGAAAGAGAACTCAAGGACTGCCGCTAGCGGAAGGAGTAAACGCTCTCCCCCACCCGTCGTCCAGATCCGAGACCGGCACTGAGGCTGCCCGGTCAAAGGGAGTAGCCCAGGATAGGCCGGCGCGACGAAGCAAAACGACCGGTGCCAGCAACCGCGAAAGTCAGCAAAGGAAAGGGTCTGTCGGCATGGCTAGCACGTTCGTACAGCATCGTACAGCTCTGTATGAATGGCTGCCGCGAGCACAGTTGCGAGTCCACGATTCCACCATCACCATCAACATCACCACAACCATCACGCGGGTTCGCCGTAACGGGAAAAGGTTGTCCGTAATCCGAACTGGTAACAGGAACCAGGCCGGTGCGGCCTGGGAACCGCATGTTCCCGTAACACGTTCAGCGCAGCATAGTGTTAACAGAGACACGTCTCGCGGAATTTCTTGTCTGATGGTGACTGTTGTGTCAGCTCCTAGACTCAGGGACTGCTTTTCCGTCCTTGAGTTCCAGGCGCTCAATCTTGTCGAAAGCTAGACATTCCACCATCTGTACGGCTAGTCGGACTCAGACTCTCTCGATGGAGGTCGCTGTGTACATGGAAGCTTCTAGCCCTGCATGACACTTGCCTTCGAGCAGCGGCACTACCTCTTATCATTCGCCATGGCCACTGGTGCTCGCAGCGCCGGGGTTTAGGGTGCTGGGATTTGACTTTCTTGCCATGCAACTACGCACATAAGAAGACAAATGAAGCTAGTTCGTTTGCAAGGAGTTCAATCATGCATCATTTTGAACCGATGAAACTACAGCAGCTGCACGACAAGCAGCCTGCCCGCTTGTGTGGTAGCTCTGCCTGCGTGTGAGAAACACAAACGAGATTGGTTGTGCGTACCCGCTCAGACCATCATCAGCATAATCGGCATCAGCATCCTCGTCATCCTCGTCATCATCATCGTCATCATCATCATCATCTCATCGTCGAAAGTGAGGCAGGTGCACAGAAGAGAAGTTGCCCAACAGCCTTTCCGGGTCCCGTCTCCCGAGCGTGATACTGCGAACACCCTCTGTGGCTTCCCACTATCTGCCGGTCATAGCGTGCGACTCACGCCAGACCGTGCAAAAGTCTGGGAGTTGGTCTTCCGAACAGAATTGTTCGAGCTCTTGTGGCAGGCCTTCGGCTCGCAAAAACGATAAAATCTGGAGCTGATTAATCCGCAGCCATGAAGCGGGGAGCTCAAGAAGCCAAACCTGACGGGGCATTCCCTGCCCCACGCATTCCACTGCCCACTTCAAGCAAAATGTGCACTCAGCGAGCACTAGCCGCTAGCCAGCAAGCCCAGTTACTTGCGAAGAAGACGCTTGTGGTGTCTGAGCTTCATCAGCGTCCGAAACTTGTACTGCCGATTTAGCAATTTGAAATGCGAGAAACCACAAGCTGCAGACATAATGACGACAACCCATACCAATCGGCCTGTTGGTTCTTGCGCTGTCTGGCTTTCTGCCACGAACAAGTTACACATAGCTGTGCAGCAAACGACAGATGAGGAAATAACTGCGGCTTGTGCAGCGAGAAGTCTCTGCTTGACCTCAAGGTCTTCGTTGGACTCTCAAACAAACCCCTTTTGAAGCACACTTTTGCAGCCCCGTTTGCGCTGTATCTGTTGAATATTGGCAGATGTAATAACACATCGCTTCATGGCTTTGCTCTCGACTTTTTGTCTGATTGGATTGGCTTCGATGCCAGGCTGAATCTCCGGAAGAGCTTGGCACTGACGTGCCCGAACGGGTACAGTGGTGGTCCGATGCATCGGAGAGGTACCTTGTGCTCCCTTGTGGTTTGACACAGTCCATGTACGCAGCTGCTTTGTGCAGGCGCAGTGCGGGCTCGAAGTGGCAACCGTTCGCCCAAGAAATTGGCAGGAAGCTCGAGGAAGCCTATCAGGCCTATCAGAGCGAAAAAGGAAAGGGACAATGCAGCTACAAAATTGGCTCTGATCCATACACGGTGACCTTCGCCCGAAGACCTATGTACCAAGCCAGTCGGTTGCACTTTCGCAAGTGGGCGGAACTTGTTGCGGGAAGGGGGGTCACTTGTGTTCCTTTTTTTTGGGGTTCACTTGTGTTCCTTTTTTTGAGGTCACTTGTGTCTTTTATTTGCTTCGGAAGCAACAGTCTCGAACGAGAGGTGCCTTGGTAGGACCTGACCCCGAACGAAACCCTGATGAAACAAGGCCAAGAAGGGGTAAACCCAGAACGAAGCCCTAATGAAAGAAGGCCCAACCCCTAAGAGGAGTAATCGGCCCAACCCCTAAGAGGAGTAAACCCAGAACGAAACCCTAATGAAAGAAGGCCCAACCCCTAAGAGGGGTAAACCCAGAACGAAACCCTAAAAGAATAAGCCCAGAACGAAACCCTAATGAAAGAAGGCCCAAACCCTAAGAGGAGTAATCGGCCCAACCCCTAAGAGGAGTAAACCCAGAACGAAACCTTAAAAAAAGTAAACCCAGAACGAAACCCTAATGAAAGAAGGCCCAACCCCTAAGAGGAATAAACCCAGAACGAAACCCTAAAAGGAGTAAACTGTATATGTTAGTTGCATGTGTTTATGTGTACGTATATGTTTACATATAGGTATACGTATATGCGTACAATGTGTAATGTACAATAAATATCTACACATGTTTAGACACCCCCTCGTAGAGTACGCATGCATGTCTATGTGCATGTGGACGCAGAAAGGGCTCCGGACCGAATGACTCAACAGCGAGTCTGATAGCTGGAGCCCCAGTACCCCGTAAGGGGGTACGCCATGAGCCACACCATGAGACCGGGGCCGGCAAGCACGTGCCACGCTGTGTGATGGTGGATATGGCACCTATCGTCGTGGATGAGGTTCGCACAGGCACGTACCGTCAGCTTCTCCACCGGGAACAGCTCATTTCCGGAAAGGAAGATTCAACAAGTTTCGCTCGCGGGCACCACACCATTGACAAAAAGAGTGTGGATTTGGTTTTGGACCGCATCAGGAAGCTTGCTGACAACTGCACAGGACTCCAAGGATCCTGTTTCTACAGCGCATGTGGCGGTGGGACAGGATCAGGCCTCAGTTGCCTCATGCTCGAGAGGCTGTCCGTGGATAATGGCAAGAAGCGCAGAATCTCCTTAACGGTTTGGTGCTGCTTTTTAGTTGCAACTGCCGTGGTGGAGCCTTACAACTGCGCCCGCTCACTCCTTGAGCATACGGATGCTACCATCATGTACGGCAACGAGGCCCTGTACAGTACCTGCCGCAGGCACCTGGACATCGAGCGACCAGCGGACACCAATGTGAACCGCCTCATCGCTCAGTTTATCTCAAGTTTGTCGGCATCGCTGCGCTTCGGTGGAGCCTTGAACGTGGATAGCACAGAGTCCCAGTCCAACCTGGTCCCGTACACACACACCACATCATCTTGACGTCCTCTACCCTGGTCATTTTGGCAGAGAAGGATTACGGTGAGCAGCTGTCGGTGGCGGACATCACCATGTCCGTTTTCGAGCCGGCAGCCATGATGGTCAAGTGCGATGTACGCCAGTGCAAGCACACGGCCTGCTGCAGGACGTACCGTGGCGGCGTCGTTCCGAAGGATGTGAATGCGGCAGCGGCTACCATCAACACGCAATGTACCAGCCCATTTGTGGACTGGTGCACCACCGGCTTCAAATGCGGCATTAACTACCAGCCGCTCACCGTGGTGCCCCATGGTGTTTTAGCCAAGGTCATACGTGCATGCTGCGGCGCAGCACCGCCGTCGCCGTTGCTTGCGGTGACATGGCAGCCGTGGAGAAGGACTACGACGAGGTTGGCATCGAACAACTGAGGGCGAGTGAGAGGAACAAGGTTACGGCTATGAGTTCTGAGTGCTTCGTTGCTGAGCAGATGCCGGCCTACTAGGTTGGTCAACAACATGGAACGATCACCCTAACAGAAGGTGAATTGCCGTGTTGTGTAGTGTAAGTTTTGTCTTTAGTGCAAGAACTCCATGTGTATACGCAGTCACTGCACATGGTAGTGTTGGAAGGGCACAGCTGCGTTTGAATGTCAGCTGTGTGGGGTGTACAGCTTGCAGTTTGCCTCACCCTCCCCCTTGAGGAATAGGCTCAGGCTGAAGTTCTAGTTTTGCCCTTTGGTGCTTGCATGTGCCTGGGCCCAGTGTCGTGATGGCATTCTTTGGCAATGCCTGAAGGTCCGCAGGAGTGCCGCTTTAACTCTGATGTTGGCTCTGTTCTAGTGTTGATTTTGCATGTGCTCGGGGATGGCTTTTCTGCCTTAGGCGCCAGTTAAATCCTCGCACATGTGCTTCCCAGCCTTAGCGCATACTGGTATGTGTCCAGATTTCTGCGCGAGGATTCTATAATTAGATGCATGCCCAAAGGGCCGCGTCGCACCGACTCAACGCCCCAAACAGGAGAAACAGGAGTGGACGCAGAAAGGGAGCAAGCTAATTGCCTTTGCACTTTATGTATACCGAGCCTGAAACTGAGCGGGGTGAGGTCCTACCAAGGCACCTCTCGTTCGAGACTGTTGCTTCCGAAGAAGGAAAAAGACAGCAGCGACCCCGAAAGCAAAGACACAAGCGACCCCCCCAAAAAATACACAAGTGAACCCAATAAAAAGACAGAAGTGATCGGGCACCCCTTGTTGCGTTCCCCAAAATAGTGTGATAAGACTGGGGTTCTCGAGTTAAGAGTATAGAGTGTTGATTGCTGTTCCCGTGCGGCGCCCGGAAAAGGAGTCCCCGTGTGCTATTATTTATGTGGGCTGGCGGCCGTTCGGCCCGGCGAGCCCGATCCGTTGCAAATGGCAATGCTATATTGACAACTTTTGAATTGAACAACCTTGAATCGCAGCGGGTACCGGGGGCAAGCACAAGTCTTGTGTTCCCGCAGCGCGCCCATACTTGGTTGAAAGCGTTCATGCCCTGCTCTCGCGTCGTCCTAAATTCCGCCAGCAGTATTTGGGAAAGATATTCGGGGCGTGCTTGATGCACCAATACTCGGAGGGATGCATTTTGGCACTATCCTCCTTTTCTCGTGGTGCTGTCCTGGCTGCTGGTCTCCTCCTGGTTTCCTGGTCGTTGTCGTCGTCGTCCTGGTCGCAGAGCTTGTCGTGGGTGATTTTCTGATGATCTCCTGGCGTTCGCTGGATTCTGTCCTGGTGATCTCCTGGAGGCTTCTTGGTGGTCTCTTAGTCGGTGGTCTCTTGGTGTTCCTCTGGTGGTGCAGGCGGTGTGGTCTCTTGGTGGTATCCCCTTGTTTTTGTGGTCGTTTTGTCTTCTCCTGATCGCTGCAGGTGTTGTGGTCTCCTGGTGGTCTTTTTTGGTGGTCTCTTGGTGTCTCCTCGGTCTGTCTGTCTTTGTGCTTCATGGTCCTGGTCGCAGTGCTCATCGTTGGGGGCCTTCTGATGAATTCCTGGTGTTCTCTGGAAGTTGTCCTGGTAGGGCCTCCTGGCGGTTTCTTGGTGGTTTTCGAGATGAAGCGCGCGGAATGCTTTTTCCAGGGTTCCAGGAGCGCTGGGGCCTTCAAGCAGATGTTCTCGAGTACAAGTGCAGTATGAGGACTGCCTCTCCGAGGCTCTTTGGAGCTCGCACGTTTTTGCGAAACAACTGGAGTACAAATGTAGTGTGCGGAGTGCTTCCCAAAAGCGGTGTAAATGCTGGACAACCGCACATATGGTAATTAGTTGCGACCTGCACTATCCCAAGCACAGCGAGCCACCGGTTCGAATGGCATGCTTCAAATATAGTCTTTCATGGTCTTTCTCTGTGCAGTGCAGGGATCTCCGTTGGCATAATGTTTGCAACAGGCAGTTTTGCCATGAGTGTAGGAGACCTCAATATTTTCTGTCGCGTCTTGGGTCTGAGGTGAACGACCAGACGGGCAACAAGCGAGACGTCATCAGAACCTGCGCAGCGGCAAAACCTGAGGTAGCTGCTGACAATATGTGCGGGCAGCAAAGTCGTCCGAGTAGCACAAGCGTTGCTCGGATGCATGACAAATGGTCAGTGTTCCAGTGTCACGTGAGTGGCACTGCTCATCTTGAGTTTTGGGGCCTGAAGCGAACAAGACCTGAGGTGGCAAGCGCTGCTGCGATGAAAAGTGCGGCTTTTCGGATAAGTTACGGAGCATGGTTTTATTCTACCTTTTGTCTGCTGTTTCCGGGCGAAAGTTTTTGACACTTCGAAGCACAGTGCCTGTGTTGCGTAAGAGACTCCTTTAGCGGAGGCAGGGTATCCTGGTTAATTATTGTTCAGTTCAGGGGTCATCAGTCACACCCGCCAGGTCAGGGTATCCTGGATTTCTGCGTGCCCGTAGGCTGAATTTGTTCTTCTCCTTGTGGCAGTCCGGCCCGGCAAAGGGCCGTAACTACGCAAAATGAAAATTATGAATCCGGGAGCTGAATTTCTTTCTTTCTTTTTGGGCGGTCCGGCCAACAGCTCGGGAAATAAGAACATCAAGGGGCTTTTTTGCTCACTCCTGACCCGTTGAACCTGAAGCCCTAAATGAAATTCCTAAGTTCCTCCAAACTTCAAGGTGCGGTAGGGAGGAGCCCCTTTTCTGGAAATGCGGGTTTCGGGGCAGCGGGCCCTAAATTGATCTTTTCCTCAGGGGTGGTTCTCGCAGATTCTAGCACATGTTCGCCGAAATTCAGCCCTTGGTTTCTTATTCAATGTTTCCTTTCACAGTGCTGGCGCTGCACCGTAGTCAGCGTCGTTAAGAACAGCGCTGAGGTAGCAAACTCGACCAAGCCACAGTGGAAGTGGCGGTCAACGCAGGTGGGGCAAGGTTGGGTGAGCTTTGGCGCAGACGAGAATCTGAAGATTGAGCTGGCGCGCTCCTCGAAGCAGCCGGATGTGCAGATCACAATCGAAGGGAGAATGGGTACACTTAGTTTTGATGCCTTGGCCGCCTGGCAGCACTTAGTTTCTTGCCATCTCGCATTAGCCTTGAACTCAAGACCGTAAACTAGGGTTCAAGTACCCGAATAGTATATGTTCGCGGCCCGAAGGACTTTCAAATAGTAAGTCCTGAAGGTAAATGCATGCATACTATTTGAGCACTGAGCCTTCAGAGAACACCTCCACCCGGTGGTGCCTGCGTGTGAAACGTTGGAATTGAGCATCATGCAATGTAGCAGGACTTAAAAGCAAAAAGCCTGCTGTGGGAGAAAGCCGAGACCGAACTCTAATCCTGCTGGCATTCCGTTTACAAGCTCATGTCTTCCGGCCTTGTGATTTTTTGCAGACCCACACTGACACAATACTTGAGCGCCCACTGTTTCGAGTCCAGACAGCCCAGGAGATAACACGGCCCGGCCGGCCTCCTCTCAAGGTCCAATGTGCGCGGGCTCATGTTTGCACAGGGTTCCGTGAACGAATGGCATGACTCCCGGAGCAGGGAGAAGGGCAAAGTCACTTCCGACATTTCTTATCTCCGGTGGTTTCCTGGTTTCGATTGAGTTTTGAGCGGGTCAGCTATTTTGAACACCCCTCAAAATCGAGAGGCATGGAATGGAGCGCTTATAGATTTTGTATTGCATGTTAGGGTGTGGTATGGTATGACAGGGCAGTACAGGGCATGGTATGGTATGGGATGGGGTTTATGTGTGTGTGTGTATGCATGCACGTATGCGTTTATCTTGCCTGCATACATCTTGTTTCAATATAAACATACGTAGGTACGTACATACTTGCTTACATATTTAAAAACACACACCCACACCACACCCACACCCACACCCGCACCCACACCCACACCCACACACCCACACACCCACACACCCACACACCCACACACCCACACACCCACACACCCACACACCCACACACACACACACACACACCCACCCACACACACAGACACACACACACACAGACACACACACACACAGACACACACACACACACACAGACACACACACACACACACACAGACACAGACACACACACACACACAGACACACACACACCATACACACACACACACACACAGACACACACACACACACACACACACACACACACACACACACACACACACACACACACAGACACACACACACACACACACACACAGACACACAGACACACACACACACACACAGAGACACACAGACAAACAGACACACACACAGACACACACACACACACACACACAGACACAGACACTGAAACACACACACACAGACACAGACACAGACACACACACACACACACACAGGCACAGACACACACACACACACACAGACACACAGACACACAGACACACAGACACACACAGACACACACAGACACACACAGACACACACAGACACACACAGACACACACAGACACACACAGACACGCACAGACACACACAGACACACAGACACACACAGACACGCACAGACACACACAGACACACACAGACACACACAGACACACACAAACGCACACACAGACACACACAGACACACACAGACACACACACAGACACACACAGACACACACACACACAGACACACACACAGACACGCACAGACACACAGACACACAGACACAAAGACAGACAGACACACAGACAGACAGACACACAGACAGACAGACAGACCGACACACAGACAGACAGACACACAGACAGACAGACACACGACAGACAGACACAGACAGACAGACACACAGACAGACACACGGACAGACAGACACACAGACAGACACACGGACAGACACACCGACAGACACACGGGCAGACACACAGACAGACACACAGACAGACACACACACAGACACACACACACACAAAGAAGCACACACAGACAGACACACAGACACACACAGAGACACACACAGAGACACACACACAGACACACACACGGACAGACACAGACAGACACAGACACACACAGACACACACAGACACACACAGACACACACACACACACAGACACAGACAGACACAGACAGACACAGACAGACACAGACAGACACAGACAGACACACACAGACACAGACAGACACACACAGACACAGACGGACACACACAGACACACACAGACACACACAGACACAGACAGACACAGACAGACACAGACAGACACACAGACAGACAGACACAGAGACAGACACAGAGACAGACACACAGGCACACAGACACACAGACACACAGACACACAGACACGCAGACACGCAGACACGCAGACACGCAGACACGCAGAGCCGCAGACCCGCAGGCCCGCACACCCGCACACCCGCCCACGCGCGCACGCGCGCACGCGCACACACAGGCACACACAGGCACACACAGGCACACACAGGCACACACACAGACACACACACACACACACAGACACACACACACACACAGACACACACAGAGACACACACAGACACACCAGA